TTAGGGATAGGGGGACTTCCTCAGGCCTTTCCATCCGCGGTGGGTACGCTTTCGGTTCTGCCGGGATTCCCGGAGGCAGCGGGGAAGAACCGCGGGGGTCTCTGTGGCGTCTTCTCAGCACCGGCGAGGATCTCTCTTCCTTTCTTTCACCCCCAGGGAGGCCGGCTGGCTCCTTCCCCGCTTCGGCTTGGCCTCTGTAGTCCCAGAGGCTAAGGAGGAAGAGTTCTCCCTGGGACCCCCTCATCCCCCACTCCCACTCCCAGCGCGTCCCTAAACTCCCAGGGGAATAAGACTCCTGGGAATGTCCTGGGGAAATCCCAGAGCGTTGTCACCTGGAACTCCGCCCTCCCCAGCGAGCCTAGTCGCGATTGGTCCCCCAAGGCCACGCCCCCTTCCTGGGCAAGTCCTCGGGCTGGGGCCTGTGAGTTACTAGAGGCTCCGTCCCACGCGCTCCCTCCCGCCGCCCGGTTCTCACCTCGCCATGATTCGTCTTCCTTTGCAGTGTCTCCTCTGGGGCTTCTTGTTGACCGCTGTGAGTTGAGTTTCTGCTCCGACCCGACGGGGGAGTTTGGGATTTGAGAGAGGGGAATGAGAAGAGAGTCAATACTTCGGGAAGGGTCCTTCCTAGCTGATTTTTTTTTTGGCGGGGGAAGCAGGGGGGAAGGCAGAAGGGTAGGTGGAAGCTGGGTAAGGTACCCCGGGTTCTGGCTGAATGAGATGGGGTGCCTTCTTCTCCTCCCAGGTTGGGGTCGCAGGTAGCCCACTGAGGTCGCGTCGTGGGGGCACTGGACAGCGTGGATGGGGTTGCAGTTTGGGGAGCCTCAAACCTTCAGCTGGTCAAAGGCCGGCATCTGGGTTTGCCTCAGAGGCTGGCCACGCAGAGAAGGGTAGCGGTTTCAGGAGTGGAAGAAAAGCCAGCGAAAGGAAGGTGCGGTTTGGCTGGTTTCCTGTCCCTCTGCGTGTGGACAGATGCTAGCCTCTGAGAGCGGTTATCGACTCTTTGCCAGCCGGAGCTGCCTTCTTCCAGGGCATTTTTGTTAACGAGGGGTGATCCAACCTAGGCGGAATGCTCAAGGCCGTGTCTCTGCCTCTTGAATTTAAGATGACGTAGGCGACATATGGGGGAGACGAACTGTTCAAAGGACCCAAGAAAGGGGTTCTTCAGGCACCAAAAGGGCTCAGATACGCCCAGTCAAGCATATCTCCGGGATTTTCAGAAACCCGCATTTGTCTCACTTTTTGTTTAAATATATTTTTGTAGTTCCTCATTCTGGAGGCTGGGAATCCCCCAAGTACCTTACTCTCTCATCCTAATCCCTCTGGCCTTCCCCCTGCTTCCAAGGGCTGTAATTTCTGGCATGAAGTCTGATCAGGAATGACCCACGGAGTAGCGGGAGTCGGCAGCAAGGAAAGAAAGTCTGTGAGGAAGCTACTTTGGTCCCAGAACTTTCATTTTCACTCTAAGCAATGGCTCCTAAGGAGAAAGGAGGCAGGAAGAGGGTGGAGCTGGAGAGAAGAGGAAGAGGGATCTTGCAGGAAGGAGTGGAGAAAGAGCCAGGGGAGGCAGGGCAAAGGGTCTTTTGGGCTTCTCAAGAGCATACTCCCAATTTAGGCTCCAGGTAGAGACTGGGTTTTGGCAACAATAGCAGTCATTATCTATTGAGAGTTTCCTGTGTGTCAGGCTCAGAGTAAAAGGCTTTACCTGCTTTCTCTGTCTGATTTCTTTCAACTCCCCCACTATACAGATGAGCAAACTGAGGCTTAGAGAGAGAAGATGTCTTGCCCAAATTCTCGTAACTAGGTGGAACCTGGATATAAATATACATTTGCCTGACTCCTGAGCTGGCCTCTCCGATGGTGAGAGTCTCTAAGTTTCGGTCTTGAGTGCCTCTGTGTCAGGACTGGCGCTATGGAGCGGGCACTGGGGAATGACAAGCTTTCAGAGGAGGATCTGTATTTCTCATGTGTTTGAAAATGGCATAAAGGACTTTCACTGCTCTCGGAGTGTGGCGGAAAGGTCTACAGGGTTGCAGGGAGAGCATTCACAGGATGGATGTTGCGATGTGATGGTGGGGGCAGCAGCCTTTTCTATATCCTTCCTCATCTGGGGTAAGATGCATTTCTGTAGGGAATGGCTGAATGAGAACCAGGATCCCAGACAGCCAGCCAGTTAGCCAGGGCACTAGGCATCCAAGCAGGTAGTCACATAGGTGTAACAATTAAAACTGCCATTTAATGAGCACCTACTCTGTTCTAGACACTGTGCCAGGCCACATACATATATTCTTTCTCATCTTCACGACCTAATCTATGGGGCAGGTATTATTACTCCCATTTTAGAGATGTGGAAACTGAGCCTAAAAGAAGCAAAATAACTAGTGTTACAAAGTCAAGATTGGAGCCTTAAGCCGTTTGTCTCCCAAACCTGTGCTCTTTTCGCTGGCCGTTCCCAAACTGTAAGGTGATTGTGAGGAACACATGCATACAGAACTAAACAACATAGATTCACTTTACAGTTCTGTTTAAAATCCTTCTCATTTTTTCAAGGAAGAAGTCTCTGGAGCTAGAATATAGTTAATACCTCTCAAGCATTGGCTAATCCTCCTTTATAAACAAAAATCAAGAGGAGGCCTGGGGTGGAGGGCTGTCAGCAAGCAAAGCGACCGGCCTGGGTTTAATGACATTGTTTTGTTTCTGTTGAATTTATTTTTAGGGTAACCTTTTATTTATGAGAAGTGAGGCTGGTTCTTCTCTCATGGCAATGGTATAAGGTTTACATTGAAAATAAATGTATTTGATTTAATGAGAAATAATAGCATAGTTGATACCTGGATGTAGTAAAAATTCATGTGAGACCCAAGGTGATGGAGAAAGGAATACTGAGACCTGAACTCTCATTTGGATTCTATCACTTTGGGACCTTAGACAAGTGGCCTAACCTCGTTGGTCCTTGGTCTCATTATTTGTAAGGCGAAAGAGTTGGATCTTATCCTTCCATCTGGCATTTCATGAGAGAGAGGTTGGAGGGAAAAAACATGATGAGGCTGGGAGAGGGGAAAGGGATGTGGAGCAGAAGAATAGAAGGAAGTGGCCGGGTACTAAACCTAGCCCCAGACAGGAATGGGACCACTGAAGTCAGCCAACCTCAGGACTCCAGGGAGGTACTGGGGTCCTCACATCCTTTTGGGTCTTTGCAAAGAGGGAAGACTCTGGAGTCCAGCTGAAAAGAAGGTCTGTTTAGTTTAGAGACTATTTCGAGGTTCCAGCACAATCGCTTTGTAAAATTTCAGAATGATTCTCTGGATGCTTTTGCAATCATATCAGTTGTCAGTTTAGTTAAAAACAAACACATCGAGTAATAGGCGGGCTCCATTTTTCTGTTTAGGACTTTACTTCAGTTCCAACCTCTGTCCTGGCTGATTTTCACCTTCCTCCTGAGGAGGCTACAAAAGAGATTTCAAGATCCCTTTAAATTGCCCAATTCTGTTTTTAGGTCCACCCAGAACCACCCACTGAATGCAGAGAAAATCAATACCTAATAAACAGTCAGTGCTGTAATTTGTGCCCACCAGGTGAGATGCCAACCCTAAAGCCCCACAGTAGGACTCCTCTTAGTTTGCTGGCAGATGCAGACCCCATGAGCCAACTGTAAACTTGAGTCTTAAACAACTCCTGAGATTTCCCACCCCTGCCCTACTGTCAAAATGTTCTGGGTTCCCTCTCTACTTACCTAGGACTAGGGTTCCTATCTCTTCCATGTCTCCCACCAGACTATGAAGGCTGAAAGGGTCCGAGACCGTTGCTTTTGAATCCCCTGCCCTAAAGCCCAGTCTGATCAGTTTTCGGTAAGTGTCTGACTCATGGAGCTTGTTGAAGCTGCCTCATTTCCTGATGTTTTCCAGGAGAGAAACTGGTGAATGAGTGCACGGAGACTGCCAACACAAAATGTTTTCCTTGTAGTGAAGGCGAATTCCTAGGCACCTGGAACAACGAGAGACACTGTCATCAGCACAAATACTGTGACCCCAGTGCGTGAGCTGCTGGGGGAGGGGTTCTTGGGAGCTGGGCTGACATTCCAGCTCATTGTTGATAATGCAGCCATTCTATTTTTTTTTTTTTTTTTTGATAGCTAGGGTCTGTTTTGATTGGTTGGAGTATAGGTTGTACCGGTTGTTAATTTGATTGCCATCCGCACTTGGAAGATGGTCTAAGAAAAAAAAAGATCAGGAAGTGGGAGGAGCAGGGCCCTAAGCATCAGGGCCACCAAGGGGTTCCCATCCTTCTTGCCCATCTCCGCACAGACCTAGGGCTCCTGGTCCAGACAAATGGCACCTCGAAAACAGACACGACTTGCATGTGTGGTAAAGGCCAATACTGTACCAGCGATGCCTGTGAACGCTGCATCCCGCACAGATTGTGCCCCCCTGGCTTTGAGGTCCAGCAGATCGGTAAGTGGGTGACCTGTCTGAGAAGCAGCTCTAGAGTCAGGAGAGAGGAACCAAGGGCCTAAGGGAAGGGGCTAGGCAGTGGGCACTCGGCTCCAGTGGTGCAGGGAATGGAGACTTGAATACCAACCTGAGTTAGTATGTCTGCTAGAGTGAGCAGGAAATGGAAACTTTTTCATTCTGCCTCCCGCTATGGGTATCTGCCTAGGGAGGGCAGTGGGAGAAGCCTTCCCAGGGGCTGCAGCAGTTGGGGGAGACTATCTGCTAGGGGAAGAGTGCTTAAAGCAGGAAGATCTTTCTGTCCTGTCTGTCCACCGATTCCCTCAAGAGCCAGACAGGTGGTCTACTGTGATGATTAATGCCTCCTCCTCCCTCCCAGCTACAGGGGTTTCTGATACAATCTGCAAACCTTGCCCAGTTGGCTTCTTCTCCAACGTGTCATCTGCTTTTGAAAAGTGTCACCGTTGGACAAGGTACAAGGACTCAGCCCTTGTGTTCCCTGCTCCAAGTGGGGCATGGGATCTGCTTCCATTCTATCTGGCCACCTGCCCTTCAGTCCCTGCTCTCTACACACTCCCGCACACCTGCGAAACACCTAGAACGACCTCGCGGCTGACCGAATGGGCACGTCTCAGCATTTTCTCGCCCTCTCTGTCTTGGTGACACTGTGATACCTCTCCTACTTTCTTTCCACCTTCCTCTGCACCTCCTTTCTCCTCCTTAACTGGTTTCTAGGTCTTCGTTCTGTTCTACTGTCCAGTCACTTTGCCCACCTCCTCTGCCATCTCATCCATATCCATGGCTTTAGCTGCCAGCTCTCAAGTGGTTCCAAAAAACATCTCCTGTCCAGATTTGTTTTCTGGGTCCCAGACTGTCATATCTAAGTGCTGAGGGCACACCTCCATGCAGGTGTCTCAAAGGCACCAAATGGACTTACCCAGGCGCTCCCCTCACCCTCTGGGAAAACCACCACCATGCTTCTGGGCACTCGTCCAAGGATCCTCCCTCACTTCCAAGCCCAAATCAGTCACCAGGTCCTGTCCATCTGGCCTCCAAACTGTTGTGGGGCTTGTCCTTCTCGCTATCTCCAGTGTCACCCCTTGAGTTTGGGGCCTCATCACCGTGGTCCGGATGATGCCTCCTCATAGGCCTTCCTGTCTCTAGTCTCTCCCCTTCAGCCAGTTCTCCCTCTGCTTGCCAAAGTGAGCTTTCTGCAGTGCATTTTAGATCACGGCGCTCCCTATTTAAAACGTTTCATTGGCTCTTGCCTTTAGAACAAAAATCCAGACTTTTTTTGCATGGCCTCCGACCTTCTGGCTCCATTTCCTGACTTCTTCCAACGTCATACGACTTGCAGTCTCCTCAGCACATGGCTCATTCTCTTGCATCAAATTCTTCTGCCTGGAATACCTTTAAACACACACCCCATAAAAATGGGTAAGACAGGCACATAGGACAGAAGACATAAAAGGACCTATAGTGATAAGTCCCCCTTACACCCCTGTCTCCCTAGTTCTTCTCCCTGGAGGCGGCCTCTGTTCCTTGTGTGTCCTTCCAGAAATTTTGTGTACAAATACACACACCTGTGTTGTGTGAAAACACATATATTGTCCGCACAAATTGTTGCATCCCGTATACATTTTGTTCTTTGTCTACTGTCTGCCTTTCTCCAACAGATTTCAAACTCCTTTTTTTTCCTTCCACTGATGCAACCCTTATGCCTAGAACAGTGTCTAGAACATAGTAGGTGCTTAACAATAGGTGCTCAATGTTAACTGACGACTGGAGGCACATTGGTGCAGTAGAATCCAACCACTGGCTTCCAACCTCACTGCGGCTTAGAAAGGGTGTGACCCTGCACAAACGTGTGACCCTCATCTCTCTGAGTCTTGGCGTCCTCATTTGGAAAACGGGAATGACCTTCATCTCGTAAGGCTTGAAGAAGACATGTCAAAGTGTTTTGTAAGCTCTTAAGCGCTCTTCTTGTGTAAGACTCTTCTCCTGTGTGTGCTTTCTTTAAAGCTTTGCTCTCTTTTGGCCACTTTAGATTGTGTGTGTGTGTGTGTGTGTGTGTGTGTGTGTGTGTGTGTGTGTGTGATGGTGTGGTTGTGTGATGTCCTTCTCTGACCATTCCTCACCATTCCTCCTGAGACCAGCTTGGACCAGGCCTTCCTCACATATCTAGACTCCCACAATGGAGTCTAGTTGGTCACCTTTCTGTAATTTCTCCTCCTGTGAACTCTCTGGCCATCTGAGTGCTCTCACTACTTAAGTCATCCGGTTGGATACTGATGCTACTCACCAACTGAATCCAATTAAAACCTTCGTGGCTGATTATGAGGTTCTAAAGACCAAATTTTCCATAGTTCCCTAACGCCATCTGGCACGTCACCCATTTAATCTCTGTATCACGCTGTCCTGCTTAGTGGGAATGTACAGCTGCTCTAAATTTTACATTCTTCAGGGCCCACTTAGTCCTAACTTCCCTGGGAAGTATTTCTGGATGCTCCTTACACCAGAGGTTCTCAACTGAGCAATTTTGTCTCCTAGGGGACATTTGTCGATATCTGGACACATTTTGGTTGTCATGACTGGGGAGGGGGATGCCACTGAAAATTAGTGGGTAGAGGCTGCTAAACATCGTACAATGCACAGGACAGCCCCGATAACAGAGAATCATGTGGCCCAAACATGTCAGTGATGCCGAGGCCGAGAAGCCCCGCCTTAAACCGAATGTACCATCTCTCCATTCCGGCCATTGTGGATTTCGTCTCCTCTTCTCTGAGCAATTCCCAGTTAATTTCAGCCTATATTGCAACACTTGGCAACACTATATTGCAACACTCATTAGAGACTCTCCTATTATTACTCCTTCAAGATGTGTAATAATCTTTTCTCTGTACTTCTGGAAGTACAGACCAGCATCATAACCAGCACAGGAGGGAGCGTACAACATGTGCTCAGTGAACCTGGACTTAATGGTTGTTGATGGTCTCTTATGGAAATCTTATGGTTGGGAAACTAATGTCTCTCTCTCTCTCTTTCTCTCTCTCTTTCCGTGTATGTGTGTGTGTGTGTGCGCGTGCGCACACGTGTCTGTGCACAGCTGTGAGTCTAAGAACCTGGTGGAGTTACAAGCAGGGACTAACAAGACGGATGCTGTCTGTGGTGAGTCCCGGAGAATGGGCCCTGGCAGCAGGTAGGGAACTAAAATGGGAGACTAAGGCACACAGAAACACAGGGCGGGAGGCGAAGTAGAGGAGGTGGCAGTTTGGAGTTGTAGCATCTCAGCTCGGCCACTTATCTGTGGAGTCTGGGCATGTTACCTTCCCTCTCTGAGCCTCAGTTTCTTCATCTGTAAAATGGGGTGACAATGGCACCCCCCCCAGGTAGCTTGATGTAAGTGCCTGGTGTGGGTTCTTGCACTCTAGAAGGGCTTCATCAATGCTATTCTGCCACCCTGCACTTCGAGCACCAGCACGATGTGACACCGTTTCCTCTCGGGGCCTCGGTTTTAATTCTAGAATGAGGAGGTTAGTCTACAGCTCAGATCACAGACTCAGGTAACTGCAGGGCAGGTCATGTTAATGAGTGAAAAATGTTAGAGGTAAGGAAAATACACTCCCTTTGCTTTTTCTTAACACTCAATTTTCCTTTTGGCAGAGCTGAGACTGGGGTGAGGTGAGCGAGGCCCTTGCCTTGGGCATAAATATTTAAAGAGGTGCCAGAAAAATGCAGTAACGAAAATAAATAACATTTTGATGCAGTATTGAAAACAAATCAAAGTTAATGCAAAAAATATTGATAATGAACAAAATATCAAAATTTTAGCTAAGCATGGAATCCGACCCTGCTCCTGCCTGACCCTGCCTCACTTGCCTCTGCCTAATCCCAGCCCTGGTTTCAATAAAATTTTATTTAAAAAACAGGCAGTCAGCCTGTGGGCCATAGTTTGCTGATCTGGGTTTTTAAAAACATGACATTAGAATGTTACTTATCTTGTGTCCCCTTAAGTGTTGTCCTGAGGCGAGTGGCTTACCCTAGTCCATGTCCTGCCTCCTGGCTTCTCTCATTTTCCTGTTTGAAATAGAGACTTAGGTACAAGAAACGCTTAAATTCTCCTTCATTCTTGTAAAACAAAGGCAATAGGTCAGACATATACCATGCTGGGCTTCAGCGTTGGGCAGAGGGTAGGGAGAGATTGGGAGTGTGGTAAGTGGTGGAGACGGGTCTTCTAAATTTCCAAGAGAAGCTAGATATTCAGATTTTAAATATGCAATCTCCTAATTTTAAGATGTTTCAAAAAAAATTTTTTTAAATGTGCTGGTCGTACTAAAGACATCTACTGGCCATGTTTTACCAGGGCTACCTGTTTGAAACCTCTGACATAGCTGAGCTCAGACGTAGAAGGATTTTAGAATCTGGCAGCGGCTATGGGCATGGGGTGGGGAGCCATCACTGAAATCTCAGTTTCCCCAGGTTTCCAGGATCGGATGAGAGCCCTGGTGCTGATCCCCATCATTATGGGGATCCTGACTATTGTCCTGTTGGTGCCTGTCTGTATCAGTGAGTCCGATATGGGGAAGTGAGGTGGGAGGGAGGGGTGGAGGGAGGGAAGAGAAGGTAAAATAGAACTGGCTACCTGTTTCCTGATCTGGCCTCACCAACTCCTCATTCCGTTTTTTTTTTTTTTTCTCTCTCTCTAGGAAAGATGACCAAGGAGCCAGAAAATAAGGTAGGTCGCCCCTGGGAACTGGTTCAGAGTTTTGGCAAACTAGAAAGAAGATTGACTCATTGCTGCCTATATGGCAGTAAAACTGATTCCGGGTCTCTCCTTGTGGCCAGGGGTGTGGGAGAGTGGGGCTTGGGGGGTGGGGGTGGCAGGAGACCAGGCTACTCATCCCCATCCCTGTGCTCTAGGGCTCCTCCCATTCACTCCCTCAGCATCGCCTTTGTCACCCTCAGAGCTCACCTCCCCACGGAGCTGCCCTTGCGCCATTTTTGAAATCAGTGGTGTCATTTGCTGTTCTTTCCTGGTATTCGATACGTGGGGAACCACTTTGGGGCCTTGGCGCTGAGTCCATGGGCTGGACTGGAGGGACAGCTCCTTGAACCACACTCATGGGAAGCTTCTTGACAACTTTGGTGTGGCCAGCAGGGGGCAGGAGGCATCCGTGGAATCAGCCCTGACCCTCTTTTTGGGAAAAGGGGAAGGGGCTGCTGGTGGTGGTGGGCTCCCCTTCTGAGAGAAGGGCTCCAAAGGGGTGTTGCTGGGTAACCTCACACCTTGGCTTCCCAGGCCTACCACTTTAAAAACCAACGGCAGGTTCCCGTGGAGACGATCGATATAGATTTTCCTGGCCCCCACTCCACCGCACCGGTGCAGGAGACCTTGCATGGGTGCCAGCCGGTCACGCAGGAGGATGGCAAAGAGAGCCGCATCTCAGTGCAGGAGAGACAGTGAGGCTGTGCGTGCCCAGGAGCGTGGCAGCATGGACAAATGTACACGTGGCCGGGGAGCCTGGAGCTGTTGCTTTGCTGTGACCAGGAGGGGCCGGTGCTTGGCACAGCCCCACTCTGCCTGTACCCCTGTGGCTCAGAAACACTTCACCTCGGGGGAACATCCCACTCCAGCCTGGAGCCCATTCGATTTCCCAACTTGCTTTTAAAGATGGAGGCAAAACTTTGGGGGAGGCGCATCTAATAATATTATCAAACTCTCCAACGCAGCAGTTTAGTGCCTGGAGATGTATCATGGTGGTTTTGATGAGCATCTGCACAAATACCCATTGCAGAATTGTTTGTGACAGAGAACAACTGGAAGCCACTTAACTGTCCACCAACAGAGGACTGGCTAAATAAAATTGTAACATATTTATGTAACAGGATCTCAAAAACACTGTCACTGGAAAAAAAAAAAAAGCGGGTTGCAGAATGATGGGCAGGGAAAACAATTTTTTAGAAAGCACATACCCCAAAACGATGTGATACATCACCTATGAGTATGTACGCAAACATGATATACGTTGTATATGTAGGTATGACAAGGGTTCTGGAAGGACACACAGGAAATCCACAGCCTGAAGAGTTGTAATGTCTGGGCTGGGAAAGAAGGCTCTGGGGGAGGGTTTGTTAAAGGAAGATTCGACTTTCCCAGAATGCTTCATTTTTTTTTCCTCCAAAAGGAGACTGAAGTCACATAATGCTTATGTAATTAAAAAGTCATCAAACATGTAAAAAGAAAAACGGGGGTGGACATGCTGGGTGACACGAGCTGCTTAATTTGCTGTCAGGCTCACAGAATTAGGGCACTTTCTGTGGATAAATAAGAATGTCCCCAGGCTGCTGCCCCGCCAGGGCGCTTTCCCTGTGTGCTCGCATCTGGCACCGTGCTTGCAAAGTGTTCTCCCCAATTCATTCATGTTCACAAAAAACAGCCATGGGGGCAGGCAGGGCCCATGTCCTTCCTTCTTTGACTGAGGTGGAAACAGAGGTCCAGAGAGGTGAAGTGACCTGCCTACGGGCACACAGCAGTTCGTAGTGGTGCCGCTCATGGCCCCACTCTGTATCCTGCGCTGCTTCTCCCAGACCTGCCTGCTCGCTGGAACCCAAATCTGTAGCTCCTTCCAGGGGAGATCTGGGGCCTCCTACCTCCTTCTGACCTCCCAACTGCTACAGGAGCTGCCGCTTCTCGGTCAGATGGTATCTCCTTCCCCCCTAGCAGTATCTTAGGATAAAAATAAACCGTCCTGTTCTCTTTTCCTGCTGTGCCAACTGAGGGGGAGCCTAGCCAGGAGGAGCAGCAGATGGAGTAGGAGCAGAGGGGAAGGGAAGGGAGGAAGGTTGTAGGACAAGGAGAAGGAAGAGCCATGTGAAACCCTGGCATGAAGGTTCAGGTTTGTGGTGTGGGTGAGGCCAGGCTGGTTTAACCCAGGGATCTCCTTTCCCCATTGCAAGAAGCTGCTTTGGAGTTCCCCAGTGTGTCCTGCTGTCAGGAGGGTGGGGGTTGAAAGGGCTTGTCTCCGATGAAGGCTGTGAGGGCAGCTGGGAGTGGGGAGAGGGGCACCTGGCTTGACAGGCTTCCCAGAAGAGCTCCGAAACCGATTGGACACACCAGGTGGAGAGGTTTGCTTTAGAAAATAGAGCAAAGTGACGGTGGGGTTGGATGGGGGAAGGGCGCTCTGGGACTTTCCCCTCCTCTCCTGCCTAGAGTCCAAATGCTAGCTCTATTCCTGGGCGTGGCAGTATGGCAGAAAGAGACAAAAGACCCATCACCTTTGCCACCTATCCTCTGCGTGACCTTGGGCAGGTCACTTTCATCCCTTAGCATCTCAATTTCCTCATCTGGCAAATGGAGACAAGACCCATAACAGCTGTTATTGATGCCTCCTTGGTCTTCTCCTGAGTCAGAGGTTCTCGGTCTTGAGCAGAACTACCTATAGGACTTGTTATAAGACAGGTAGCTGGGTTCCACACTCAACCATGGCAGTTGTAGCAAGTTTCTGATTGAGTAGGTCTGGGATGGAGTTCAAGAATTGGCATTTCTAACCGGTTTTCCAGGTGCTGCTGGTGGTCCAGAGACCACATTTTGAGAACTATCGCTCTTGGCATTCAGATTTCTAGACAAGCAGTCAGTTTCCTGTTGTAAGCACTTGGGATCACTTCCCTCAGGGGCTTTCCCTGGTCTTGAAAACATTCTTGGTGCAGGTGTGGGGCAGGTAAGGTGTACCTGGAGAGTTAATGCTCAGGAGTACTCTCAATCAACTGGAAATGAAAGTTGAGGGGTAAATGATTCAGCCTTCTTGCCTTTGGATGGGACGAATATGAAGCGTGGTCTATACTGTCTCCTAGGTTCCCCAGAGGGATCGAGCTCCAGCTGCCCCTCTGCGCTGGCTCCCTTCCCTTCCCCGTCTCACTTCCCCACAGCCCACTGGGGCTTCCGCACACTCCTTCCTTGCCGCAGAGTGTGCTTCTTGGAGAAGTTCCCCCGACCAGCCAGCAGGGCTCATGCATAAGAAGGTACACTTTTGTACAGTCACCCTCCCTTATCCGTGGTTTCGCTTTCCACGGTTTCAGTTACCTGTGGTCACTCGCGGTCTGAAAATATTAAATATAAAATTCCAGATGTGAACAATTCCTAAGTTTTAAATTGCACCCCATTCTGAGTAGCGTGATGAAATCTCGACTTGCCCCACCTTGTCTCACTCAGGATGGGAATCATCCCTTTGTTCGGTGTCTCCACGCTGTAGATGCTCCCTGCCCGTTAGTCACTTAGTAGACATCTTTGTTATCAGACAGGTCATGAGAGAGAGAGAGAGAGAGAGAGAGAGAGAGAGAGAGAGAGAGAGAGAGAGAGATATCATGTCCTCATAACTTTCATTACAGTATATTGTTATAATTGTTCTATTTTATTATTAGTTATTGTTAACCTCTTACTGTGCTTAATTTATAAATTAAGCTTTATCATAGGTATGTCTGAATACGGAAAACATGGTATGTATAAAGTTCAGTACTATCCCTGGTTTCAGGCATCCACCGGTTTTGGAACGTATATCTTAGCATCCCTGACAAAGAGATGGGTTGCTCTTTATGGCGGTTGTAGCAAGTTCTAAGTGGAGCTCAACCAGAACTTTCTGTAAGACCTATGAGACAGTTACTCTCTGGTTCTAGGATTCCCCCTACGCCAGATGTGTAATGAAGGGCTGGGGCCCTAGAAGTTCTCAGGGTGTTGCCAATTCTGTAAATAAGTGCAAAGGATCTAAGAACTGTAGGGTCCTCTCCCGCCTGTAGGTGGAGCGGTGGGTGTGAGGCTTATATCAGCCAGAGGGTGGCGCCAAGTTATCGTTAAAGACCCGGCTTTTGCTGACTCTCACACCAAGTCCTGCCCTCACTTTGGAGAGGAGGCCTTTCCTCCCTGAGCCCGTCAGCCTCTGCTCCGCAGCTTCACCCGTTCCCTAGGTCAGGTCTTCCTCTCCACTCTGCTTCCTTCACTTTACAGCATCGACTACGTCTGTTCCTACTGTGGCCTCATCCTGAGCAGGGCTGTGCCCAGGGACATACTGAGAGTGCTCCCTCTGTGCTAGGCACCCTGCTAAGAACTTTCTTTGCATCGTCTTAGTTGGTAGGACAACCCTACATAAGGCACAGTCTCCTATGTCACCTGTTTTACGGATGGAGCTCAGAGGTCGAATGACTTGCTAAGGTCTGAGGAGTGAGAGCTGGGATTTGGACCTAACTTGGTTGACTCATGCACACAGGGGCTCCAACGTGAGGCAGGCCAGCTCAAGACAAGGCGGGAATGCAGAGACTATATGGCAAGATGGAGAGGCTCTGCCCATCTTTGGGGGGCAGCGTTGATCGGCTCCTTCTTGTGGTTTTGCCCTGCAGGAATGAGAGTTAGGGGAATCCAGATTTCCAAGTGAAATTGCCCCATGTTTAAGGGCCACCAATTCCAAAACTTAAAAAACTCAGTGAAAACCAAAGAAAGCATGTCACAGAGGCTTGGAATTAAATGGGACTGGGAACATTATCATGTCCAATCTTTTTTTTTATGTATGGGGAAACTGAGGCCCAGGAGAGTCTGGAGCCCAGATGGGCAACGTGGCATAGGCAAGTTGTTTCCTTCCTCCACACCCCAGCCAGGAGGTGGGAGAGGGCCTGTGGGGGCTTACACTCCACCCTACAAGCTTGGTTAAGGGGGCCTGAGGCACTGAGGTTCTAGGACTAAGGGAATTGCCTTGGGAATGGGCCTGAGCTGGACGTAAATGTCCTCTTCATTCTATGACACAAACCCTTGCTGTGCTAGGCCCTCCCCGCGCCCCAGGCATTCATGAACATACCCTCCCTTTAAGCCTTCGGGGCCCTGCAGCCTATTCCTTGGGCAGCAGAAATTATTAAAGGCTCTGTCCCGAAGGATTTCTCTCCCCCAGAGTGATTCTAGCACAGAAAATTACAAACCCACCTACGGGGGTTGGGAGATACAGTTTTAATTTGCAAAAAAAAAGAAAAGAAAAAGGCGTGCTGTGGGCCTGGAGTCTGGGAGAAGGATGAAGCGCATGAGGGGACTCTCCTGGGATTCGCAGCATTGGTGCTGGGGGGCTGACTCTAGGAGGGGCTCAGCAAGGTCCAGGAGTAGCTTTTGTCCAGACAGATGGAGCTAGTGGGCAGAGGGTTAGGGAGGGGGCACCGTTCCTCTATTCTAACCACCCCCTCCCCCTCCCCCACTGTTCCTGGGGCTCTCTGCCTCTCTCCCTGCGACTGGCACCTCCTGCTGGGCCTTGGCGCCCAGCTAGTTCCCTGTCTCCTCCTCTTTCCAAGACTCCCTCCCACCCTCCGTAGTCCCTGTCCATCCCTCCACCGCTCCTTGCTTTCCGCTTTGCTCTCTGACCAACCACCTCTTTTCTTTCCGTCCACAATCCCACCTCACCCTGTTCTCTTTCAAACAAGTGTTACTGTTTGGGCTAATTACGAACGTCAGACCTGGCATCGCACACCCCATCCAAGCAATAAACAGGAAAACGAGACCACTCGTAAGCCTCCCACCACCCCCACCAGCCGCAAGTTCCAGGTCCTTCCAGACTTGGTTTCTGTGCCAAAAACATTTTTTAAACTTGAGTTATTATTGCATACGCGGTTTTGTAAGCAGCCTTCTTGGCTTAGCGGTAGACAGCAGACGTCTCTCCATGCCAATAAATATAGATCGACAGCACGCTTTTTAATTGCTGCATAGGATTCCGTCGTGGAGCTGGAGCCCGATCCGTGTCAGGACTCCATGTGGATGGACTTCTAGGTGGCTCCTCCCTTTCCCCCAGGCCCTTCCTGCTTCCTCTTTCTCTCTACTTCTCCTCTTCCATCTTCCATTTTTTCTTTACCTTTCACCCTCCCCTCC